ACCAACCGGAAAGAATGCAAAATCTTTTACTTTTATATTATATATTGACATGAACAAAATAATAAGCCCATTTCATTGTGTTGAAGAAAATAATAAACTTTGATTTTAAATTTTGATGATGCTCCAGGCATCAAAAGGTAGGCACAACTTTTTTTAGTAAGCCTTCTTTTATAATAATTCTTTTGATAGTTGATGATGTATAAATTGGTCTTGTATACTACCTATCAAGTGATTGATAATTAATACAGTAATTAAGAAGTAAGAGGGTAGTTCAAGTAAGACAAAGATTTAGAGTAATTCGGTCAACGTGACCTACGTTCACTATGAAGTGTTAGGATGGTCTGATATCTTATTACTTCGAGGAGTGTAAGGAGATACAAGTTATGAGCGACAGGGGGAGTGTGATAGTAGATGTGCTCAATTGTGTGTGATGACCCTAAAGTATTGACAATGCTTACAATTTATAAGCGTTTCTTAACAGATTGATAAGACTTATCAGTAACTAAGTTATTACTCTGGTGAAACAAGCGTTATCTTCTCAACGAATGAGACAGTTACGAAGCTCTCTTGAAATTATGTCCAAGAATGATGTGGTGGTTGATTTTTTTTCAAGGCGGCGTAAAAGAGACTCTCAGGATGACCCTACCTCCTTTTATGATGTAGCTCTCCGAACCTTGATAAGTTTAGTTGGGCTTGGACTTCCTATGGATTGGATCCACTGGATCTCTTCAAGTTAGACTTTTAATTTAAATTGGGCTTATAATATGAGTTGGTCCTTTGGGCTTAGTCCACCAGTAGTTTAAATTTTGGGTTCTTTGGAAATCGGTACATCTAATTAAATTTATTTGGTAAAAAATACATAAAACAAAATGTGAGTTACAAAGACATAAATACTCATTTTAGGGTCATTTAATTCAAAATCTTTTATCTTTAATGCACCTTCATTCATGTATGTTTGTTAATACATATAAATATGTATTTAATACATCTTGATTCATGTGTATTTGTTAATATATATATATATATATATATATATATATATATATATATACTTGTTAAATATTTTATCTAAATTTTGAATTATCTATAATGCACATTAATTCATGCGAATTTTTTTTTTGGAAAGTAATTTTATTTTCAAATTATATTTAATGCACCTTGATTCAAGGGTTTTTTTTTTTTGAGAAAATAATTTTATTTGCAAATTAATTTAATATCTGAATAATGTAATAATGTAACAATAACAGTGTAATAAAAACAGTGTTCAGTAATTTTGTCTATGTGGTAACAAATTCAAAACGGAAATGAACTATTTTAAATGAAATTATATGAAACTATATATTTGACAAAATGTAATAATACAATATTTTGCGTAAATAGTTTGTTATACTGTTATTGTTATACTGTTACATTGTTAGTGTTACACTTGTATTGTTACATTGTTATTATTACACTGTTATACTTTTATTTTTACTCTGTTATTGTTACACTATTACACTATTCAGATATTAAATTAATTTAAAAATAAAACCACTTTCTAAAAAAAATGCATGAATTAAGGTGCATTAAAAGATAATTCAAAATTTAAATAAGAGATTTAACAACAAATATATACATACATAAGTGTATATATATATACACATTAAAATTTGAAATTCAAACAAGTATAAATATACATATTTATATGTATATATATGTGTGTATAAAAATTTGAAATTCAAACAAATATATATATATATATATATATATATATATATATATATATATATATTCTCTCATAAAACTAGGAGATGTTTAATGCACCACTTTTCAAAGAAAAGTGGTGCATTAAATACACATGGATTAAAGGAGGGCAAAAATGTCACAAAAAATCAGTAAAATTCAAATAATGTACTTAGATATAAATAAGTATCAAAATTAAGGACTTAATTACTCAACATTTTTTTCTATATACTTTTTTTACAATTAAGTCTAATTTGGTGTACCTCCTTCCAATTTTTCCTAAAATTTTTTCAAACTTCTTAAAATGTGTGACCAATCATTCAATTATACAAAATCATATGTTTTTTGAGTAGTTGCCAAGATAAATATATGGGAGAAGTCGAAAATTAGGGATGTCAATTTTATTTATTGACATGAACCCTGTAAGAGGCAAAATCCAAAATGAGATGACTGATTAGCACAAATGATAAAATGTTTGGGATTAAAGTTAAGGACTTAACTATATAGTATCGCCAAAAAAATTTTTGATAACGTACCTCTAAAATTTATTATTTTAAAGGTTATTTTTTTATAACTTTTATGAATCAATTTATAACTAAAAAATTAACTATTTTTGTGGTTAATTTATTATTTTTATGGATATTTTTATTATTGTTGTGGAGTTTTACCACATTTGTGATAATTATTTTTATTATTTTTCTTTGGTACAAAAAAAATTATCACATTTGTGGGTGATTTATCATATTTATGAAAAATTTTATCATTATTGTAGTAATTATTTTTACCATTTTTTTGAATATCACATTATTAATAAAAATACCCACAAATATAATAAAAGTCTAGCAACAAATATAATAAATAGAAGTACAATACTATCCTTTTTTTTGGGTACCGTAGTCGACTCTTAAAATTAGATGCAAATAACATGATTAATTGATACTATAAGTACAAATAGTATATTTTATAATATTTTAAAATCTCTTTGCGTAGTGTCATATGAATTATTTTATAATTAAATAATTTTTAATGAAAAGGAATTGAAATGACATGACTGAAAAAAACACAACAGGAATTATCACCCTAGTTGAAAACAGACTGAGAAATTAGGACCTTCATCTTTAAGTGGTTTTTATTTTGAAAAAATTCAGCTATATCCCTTCTAATTTATCATATTTTTAAAGATATGTTATCTATTTTTTGAATCTTCACTGATATCCCTATCAAATTAAAGATGTTAATTATAATATAATTTTACTAATTTGTCCAGATATGTTTGACAAAAAACTTCATCCAAATTCCCTCTAGATAGAGGCTTATCTTTATTGAGACCCCCTTTATTTTCTAAATTTTTTACATATTAAAATTTAGATCGATTAAAATTTGATTCAAATTAATTAAAATTTATTTTTTACTTATTAAATTTTGAGTCAATTAAAAATTAATCATTTTTAATCAGCTCAAATTTTAATCAACTTGAATTAAACTTTAATTGGCATAAATTTTAATAAATAAAAAAAATTTAAATTGTAATCAACTCGAAGTGAATTTTAATTAGTGGTGACAGCTCAAGTAGAATTCAAATTGACTAAAATTTTAATACATAAAAAAAAGTTTCATAGGCTTGGATTTTAATACATAAAAAAAAAAAATTAATCCGTTCAAATTGAATTTTAATAGACTCAAATTTTAGTATGTAGAAAAATAAATTTTAATCGGTTTGAATTTTAATCGAATTTTATTTTTAAAAAAATTGTTTGAATTTTATTTAGGGGCATTTTTTGATATTTTAGATTACTATTTTTTTGTAGAAATTGTAGTTTAATAGTAGGGAGTGTTACTGATGTTTAAATATAACCTAAAAAAGGTGTCAGTGATGTTTTTGATAATAAAAGGGGTTTCTTTAAAATATAGCAAACTAGAAGGAGTGTAATTGAAATTTTGCCTTTTTATTTTTATTTTTATTTCAATGGGTGAAAATTATTTAGGAAGAATAAAGGAATGTTATGGCCGCAGTAGAAACGAACATGCTATGGATGTTGTCAATCCCAAGGTAGTTAACCAAAACCCGCATATCTTGTATTAAAAATTTGGAAATTTTTTTAGGGTTAAAATATAATAAATTTAACTTTAATGAATTAATAATTAATTGAAATAGTGGTAATACCAAAACAGAAAAAAAAAAAGGGGATGTTGTCGCGCATGTGGCTCGAGATAAGTGTGCGTGCGACTATGTGGGTCCAAATACAGTTAAAGGCCGGAGTAATGTTTGGACCGTTAATTGCGGGATTGAATGGGTCCCACTGCATGTTACGCTGTTCGTTGGTGCCTTCTAGTTGGCTTGCAATTTTTAGATATCCAATAGATGCTTTTGGTGGGTCCTCTGAAATTCTTCAAATCACAGCCGCTTGTTACGCCTCATCTTCCGATTGACTCTACATCAACAACCCCCCTCTTACTTGTGTTTTTTTTTTTTTTTGGTGTAGACTCTTTTATTTTGAGGGGCTTCACTTTGGTATAGACTGAGAGTCTGAGATAACGAAATTCTTTATGTATTTAAATATAATATTTAGAGTCAAATAACTATAAAAAAAAATATCAAATTTAATATTTAAGATCAATCATAAAAAAATATTAACTTTTAATATCAAGTATTAACTTTTGTTGCTTAAAACATGTTTTTAGATTTATTTATAATAAAAAAAATTATAATTTTTTAGGTCATATTATAACTTTTATGCTTTAAGTCACAACTTTTTCAGAGTTGTTTATAACTTTTGGAGGTCTTCGAGATCTATTATAATAATTTTGAGATCAATCCCAAGTAACTTAAAATTATAAACAATTCCAAAAAATTATAAACGTTTTTCAAAACTTATAAATAATTTCTAAAAATTATAAACAACCTTCAAATGGGGGTACTAATTTTTGTTAGTCTTCTCCACCAATGCAAGATAGTCTTGAAACATTCTGCTGGACATCATACAGAAGCATTTAAGACGACAAAGGATATTGGGTGAAGTAGGAAAAGTGCGGTCAGTTTTGATGCTTAAAAAATCTGAAAAATATTTGGAACTTGTCATCAGAAGGGGATTTCCAATTTACACAAGAGAGTGGTCCAAAAAAAAAAAAAGAAAGAAATTTACACAAGAGGATCATTAAAGATAAACAAATTACACCACTTGCCCTTGATTCGCGCCCCGATGCTCCTCCATAAGTAGGCCACCTTCCTCCACCCATTTCCCTTATTCCCCACCTCCGCATTCTCTCTCTCTCTCTCTCTCTCTCTCTCTCTCTCTCCATAGAAAGGTGTGTTTGGTTTGTAAGTGAAAACAAAAATGGGTATTGTGAGTGTGGCCTGCATTGCCTCCATTGTCTCACTATTGTCCCTTGTTGACGCTAGAGTCCCAGGAGTTTACACTGGAGGAGCCTGGGAAAGCGCTCACGCCACCTTCTATGGGGGCAGCGATGCCTCCGGCACAATGGGTACGTACCAAGTTCACTATCATTTCCACTGTCTTCAAACCCTATTCACCCGTATTTGATTTAGCGTAGTGCACAATACCGAGTGTTTTTGACATCCAGTTATTATATAAACCCGGATTAAAATATTTTAATCCTTACTGACTCTTTATACTCTTCATTATAGTGCAATCAAATGAGTCCATTAAGTCTATTTAGCATTTCCTAAGTCCTGTGGTTAGTTTTCATAGTCCAAAACAGAGCCATTTCTTCTGCATTTTCATAACAAACAGCATTCCTCTTGTAGCCTTCAAGCTGTGTGCATTCCTCATCCTTTGTAGTTTCTGGGTCGGGTTTCTCATGTCAAGTCCACATTTGCTTTTTACAACCCCATAGCCCTCCAAGAACCCACCACCATTTAGCCTATAACGAAGCCTAAAGCCCATTATAAGTCCTGTAACAATCTTCGCAAAATCCATCTATTTGCCTTTATTCTAAGTAAAATCCTATTTGTATAGTTACATTGTACAACCCAATTCTACAATTTTACCTCCTAGAAATCTAATTCTTCTACATACGTGCAGGTGGGGCTTGTGGATATGGTAACTTGTACAGCCAAGGCTACGGAGTAAACACTGCAGCGCTAAGCACAGCACTGTTCAACAATGGGCTAAGCTGCGGCGCATGCTTCGAGATCAAGTGTGCCAACGACCGCCAATGGTGCCACTCCGGCAGTCCATCAATCTTCGTCACCGCCACCAACTTCTGCCCGCCAAACTACGCACTCCCCAACGACGATGGTGGCTGGTGTAACCCTCCTCGTACCCACTTCGACCTCGCAATGCCCATGTTCCTTAAGATCGCCGAGTACCATGCCGGAATCGTCCCCGTCGCCTACCGCCGGTAACATTTATTTTCCTTCTTCCTTTTTTGTTCTGTTTAAAGCAGAACATGGTCAGCTTTGCTTGCGCAAACTAATTAAGTACAGCCAACGACACCGTTTTAAAGATATTTTAGGATTCAAAGTGTCATTTATACAACAAAATATATCGCGTGAGTTAGTTAAACCAAGGGACCCACTTAATGCCTTTACCCACTAAGAACGAGACACGTATGACAATCACAGCTTTACTTCACATGGTAACAAAACCCCATCCTCAAATGACCACACTGACCTTCACTTTTGCGACATATTCGCAGGGTGCCCTGCCGGAAGCAAGGAGGCATCAGGTTCACAATCAATGGGTTCCGCTACTTCAACCTGGTTCTAATCACCAACGTCGCGGGTGCAGGGGATATCGTGAACGTCTGGGTCAAGGGTTCCAAGACTGGTTGGATGAGCATGAGCCGAAACTGGGGTCAGAACTGGCAATCGAACGCCGTTCTCGTTGGACAGTCTCTCTCTTTCAGGATCAGAGCCAGTGACCGTCGCAGCTCCACCTCCTGGAACATAGTTCCGGCGGGTTGGCAGTTCGGTCAAACCTTCACCGGAAAGAACTTCAGAGTCTGAAAAGTCAAGGAATGAATTTCAAATTTCCCGCCTCAAATTGTTTCTGCTTTTAGCGCCATTGATAGAAGCTGTGTTGGTTCTTTTTGGCTGTGTACACTGTTCAGGTTGTTGGAGATTGTGAAAGTTACAAATTAGAGAGAGTGAAAGGGAGAGGGAAAATACTTTTTTGACTTTCTGGGGGTTTGGTTTGAGAAAGTAAGGTAATGCTGGGGCGGCTGCAGAAATATGTAGCCCGCAGCTTTTGAAAAATGTTACTATAATTTAAACAATGTTTGTTGTTGTAATCTATAGTTTGTTTGTTGGGAAATATATACACTTCTTTGGCTTTGTTTTTTAGGTTGTTTTTAATCTAGTACAGTTCTGTTGTGGATTAACTTGTAGTTAGGCCTCTCACATGGATCCGATTTTAATCAAGATTATATAGCCGAATATAAATTAAAAATTTTGAAATTCGTTGAACACACGAACTGGTATTGAAACATGAATTTTTAATCGAATTCGAATTTTATAACTCTATCTGTGAAAACTTGAAATAATTGGTAGTTTGTTACACAAGTGTTTGAGAAAATTTATTCCACTCTTTTTTACAAGAAATTCATTCTAGTACTGGCAATTGCAATGTAAATTTGAATTTGTACAATCACCTATAAAATATGAGAATTAAATCTTAAAGACACGAATTTAAAACTGGTAGATTTATGACTATAAACCAATCACCTAGGTTAATGTCTTTTAACCTTGTTTAGGTCATTTGTGGTGTTTTTCATTACCATTTTCTACTAAAACTGAGAAAAATATATGTGACGGGCACGATAGTTTTTATTCTAAAGTATATGTTTAAAAATTGGTTAATTGATGTGCTTAAATTGGTAAAAATTTAACACCACTTGTATTTCGTAATTTATAAACTTCAAAGGAACTCAATTTTTGAGCGTACAAACACAATCACTTGAACAATAAACAAAATTCATAATCTCAAGGGATTAGCCTAGTGATAGCTCAACCATCCGATAAACATCTTCACAGGCATAGATCAAGAATTTGAATATCGCATGAAACGTTCACCATCTTATGGCTACCGCCCATTGAAAGACACTTTGCACAAAGAACAACACTAATCCGGTGAATGAGCAAGATAAGTGATCTACTTGGATAATTGGGTTACCCAAAAAAAAGCAAAATTCAAGACAGACTCGAGGATCACCATTGACTTTAGATGCACATGCAAAGCATAAGTATTATGTTAACCCAATTTCATCTGGCAAACATTCAATTTCCATCTACCGGTAATAATTCATGACTCTTAATTGGTGAAAATCCCAATGATAGACATGTTGAGTATGACCTCCATTCAATAAACTTAGAGGTCCTAGATGCAAGAAAGGGGTCACGTTAAGGATTTATGTAAATTATTACCCTATAAATGTGAGACAGGAAAGATAATTAGATGCCCAACAAGTCGAGACCCGCATAGATAAAGAGAAGAGTCGACTCTCCGGTGCATGAATGTGAAACTAAATTGATCAATTGGGTGAGTAATTCTGTGTTGACATGCAGTGGTAAGTTGTTTTCTTCATCTTTTCATCATTTCAAGAGACAATAATCTATGGATTCCTAATACTGGAAAAGGTCAAAAAAGCAGAGCTTTGTATACCTTGCACGAATATGTCATTCTTTACATCTTGAACATGTGTTCATTGGTAAATTTCCATAACATCATGCAGACAGAACGACAAAACAAAGTACCAAGGTGTAATCTATTAAAAGCATCGGATGACACAATACGAGGATTCCTGTATTAAGGAATTGATGAAGAGTTAAATCAACTGCCAAAACCCTCTAGTTTCTCCTCCTTTTGAGCACCCTCAACTGACTGAGTATGTATGATACTCCCTCCTTCAATGTTGCTTTTCTTCCTTCTTCATAATTCCAGAGCTCTGGTACCACATACCTACCACTAGGGTTGTACTCATTTATCTCCATCAAGGCAGCTATCACGGCCATGTAAACTTCATTACCGTTATCAGTCTTAGGATTTTTCAGGTTTTCATCCTCTTCATCAATTATTTCCTAAGCACCCCCAGTCAAATAAAACATGCACAAGGAAAACGATTTAACAGATTAGGAGGGGACGAGAAACAGAATCTGATTTATGAACAGAAATTGGTGTTAAGAGAAGAGGGACAGAAAATCCTAGGACAATTTCACCGCTAATACAGACCAGTCCACCGCCAACCAGGCTAAATGAATGAATGACCATCTAATATTACCATTATTATCACTTTGGCAGGGTAACAGAAGAAAGTACATTATACCGCCACAGAATATTAGAAGCCTCGTAGAGGAAAGGTAAGAAGAGATAAAAACAAGAGGCTAGAAAGTTGCAGTTTATATGCAAGTCATAACCAATTTCAAGTGAGCAACTCTTTCCAGCAAAAAATATGGCGGCTCAGCTTTTAATTTGTTTCTATTTTGGGGCACTTTTACTAATGAGGAGATACTTCCTCATCTCATCTTGTGGAGAATTAAGAAACTAAAATGTCTACTGGAAAAATAACGAGTTCTCCAAATATCAACTTAACAAGTTTTCCGCATGCCCCTATGTAGCTTTATCAAGCTAGTAGTTTGAGGAAAAATTGTCAATATGATACATTATTTGCAATGCATGAGTAATAAAAGTCCGTTGAAAGACAATAAATGTTTGCTAATGTTACGTAGAATTGCATACCTTGTGCTTCTTCCCACCTGCAACCGTGACAACCTTAAAAGGGTGCCAGCTAGGATCCTAAGGTAGTCCTTCCATAATGAGCACATCTCCCAAGATTTCTCATCCACCTCATTTCCCAAGCATCTTCTCTTGGCAGCAGCTTCCTATCAAGTTCCCCCATTCTCTTTACACCAATCAAACCATGAGAAGACTGCCCCTTCAAGGCCTATAGGACCAGGTCATTTACCAAATCTTAGGTATAACTGCAAGATTAAAAGTGGTAAATTGCACAAATGGTCCCTAAGGTTTGCCATTCGTCGCACTTTGATTCTTAAAATATTAATTTCGTCCCCAAAGTTCAAACATTGAGCTCATGTGGTCGTTACAAAAATTGATAAAAAATACCATGTTCCATCACTTGCATATTTTTAGAGGTATTTTTGGTATTTTACAAACACAGCAAAGGGCTGTGCAATTTACCAAATAATAACATAACCACAGTAAATTGTTTTGTAAGTCAACGATTCCATATATCAAAGTTGATCAGAGAAACAAATAGCATCAACATTGTTTTCATATCTCATTTACATGAATTACAAAAGTTCATAATTAGTAAAATGTTAATAGCCTTGCTAGCTCTAGCTGGATAAGTGAAATTTGTTCATCTTATGGAGAACAGACTAAGAGCCATTGACCACGATTTGCCAAGGAACAAAAATTTCTGGTAAGGGAAATATGTTCACCAGCAATATCACAAAATTAGCACGCACATCAAGTGAGAGGCAGCTAGATTCTAACGAGAGATGCCAGAGAACATTAAAAGATTATAGTGCACAGACAAATGGACACAAAGATGCACAAACAAAATATTGCTAGGGTAGTGTATTTATATTTGTATGGATGAGACCAACACAATCATCGAAGAATTGCCAAAAGTATTTTATGACAATCATAATTTCGCAAATGGCAATAGTAACTTTTGATGCATGAGTGTTAGCTCATTGTACTGTAAATGTAGGTTTGAAATGGTTTCTCACTACAACTTTAAGATGCATGTAGCCAGATACTAGGTTAACAAAGTAGTATCATTCTGCGTGATTTTTTCTTAAATTATCGAAATACAATTTGTGAAAATGAACTTTCTGCGAAAATTTACAGTGAAGCTGAATGTGATAGAGTTCATAGAAAGCTTGGAGAAGAAGACAGAGGCACACAGAGAAGGTAAGAGAAACAAATATTTTCCATTACATTTTCAGTTCAGAATACAAGTATTTATAGCCAATCTTGGTTACAATGCCAGCTAGGACTAACTAACTAACAGACTGTCTTGTAGGCAAGTGGCTTCAGCAACCGACTCCAATGCAATCACATGACGGTAGCTGATATGAGGGAAATACTTGTGTGTAGTGTTGGTATTGTATAATACATCCCCTCAAACTGATGGTGGGGGACCAACCAACAGTTTGTCCCTTAGAAGCAAAAAACGAGCAGAAGATAGTCCTTTGGTGAAGACATCAGCCAATTGATCCTTGGTGGAGATTTACTGGACAGTTAGAGATTTATTTGCCACCTTCTCTCAAATGAAATGAAAGTTTATCTCTATATGCTTAGTTTTGGCATGAAACATGGGGTTAGAAGCAAGTGCTAAAGCTGAAATGTTGTCACACCAAAGAGTGGGAGTGTGAGATGGAGAAAGCTGCAGACTCTGTAAAAGTAGTTGCAACCATTTAAGCTCAGCAGTGGTTTGAACAAGTGCTCGAAATTCAGCCTCAGTAGAAGATCTAGATACAGTACTCTGTTTCTTTGTAGACCAATGAATGGGATTATCTCCAAGGAAAAGAAGATATCCTGTAGTAGACCTTCTGTCATTGGGATCTCCTGCCCAATCAACATCTGTAAAGACTGATAGAGTAAGAGAACTAGGTCTATAAGAGATACCAAAATGAGAAGTACCCTTGAGATATCGCAGAATCCTATTGACTGCTGCAAAATGAACATCTGTAAAAGAGCTTATATATTGACAAACTTGATTAACTGAAAATGCAATATCTGGTCTAGTAAAAGTGAGATACTGTAAGGAACAAACAATGCTTCTGTATAAAGATGGATCAACCAGAGGAGAGCCATCAGTTTTGCCAAGTCTAGAAGAGGCAGCACAGGGAGTCTTGCATGGCTTGCAGTCAGTCATGTTGGCCTTTTGAAGAAGATCAGTAGTGTATTTTTGCTGACTAATGAACAATCCTGTGGCTGTGTGTTGAATTTTCAATCCAAGAAAGAAATGCAAAGGACCAAGATCTGTCATCTCAAAAGATTTATTAAGATTTATCTTAAGAGAAGAAATATAGAGTGGATCATTACCAATGATGATTATGTCATCCACATAGAGCAAAAGAATAGTAAGAGATCCTTTAACAGTTCTAATAAAGAGAGAAGGATCAACAGGAGAAGCAGAAAAGGAGTAAGAAGAAAGACGAGTGGTAAATTTCTCAAACCAAGCTCTCAGAGCTTGTTTAAGCCCATAGAGAGATTTGTGCAATTTACAAACATAATGAGGAGTCAAAGGATCAAGAAATCCTGGAGGTTGAGTCATATAAACCTCTTCATGAAGATCTCCATGCAAAAATGCATTTTTGACATCAAGTTGGTGTAAAAACCAATGGAACTAAGTAGCAAGAGCAAGAATAAGCTTAACTGTAGCATGTTTAACCACTGGACTGAAGGTTTCAAGATAATCAACGCCATGCTCTTGATGAAACCCTTTGGCCACCAACCTAGCTTTATACCTAGAAATTGTGCCATCATAATTGTGTTTGATTCTGAAAACCCATTTACAACCAATAGGAGAATGGTTAGAAGGAGGAACCAATATCCACGTTCCCTGTCTTTGTAAAGCAGAGAACTCTTCAAACATAGCCTGTCTCCACTCAAGAAATTTAGATGCAGAAGTAAAAGAGGTAGGTTCAGCAACTGAAGTGCCAAAAATGTAGGCTTTAGGTTTGAAAATACTAGATTTAGCTCTAGTTTGCATAGGATGAGTAGAAAGAGATTGGGGCAGAACTGGTGGAGGAGGATTTGGAGAAGAATTAGACATAATAGGACTAGAGGATATAGGAAAGGTAGAGGATGCAGATTCTGAATTAGAGGACAAAGATGTAGCAGAAAATAGAGGAGTTGATGTATAAGAAAGAAGAAAAGGAAGTAACTCAGGAGAAGGTATAGATGAAACAGAAAGGGGAGAATCCACAAGAGAAGAGTGAGAAGTACCAGTAGAAGTAGAGAGAGGAAACCAATGACTAGGATCAGGAGGAATATAAGAAGAAGAAGAAAATGATTTAGCAAAGGGAAATGTGGTTTCATCAAAGATAACATGTCTAGATATATAAATTCTATTAGTTTGAGGATCAAGACACAAATAACCCTTATAATCAAAGGGATAACCAAGGAACACACATTGAGTAGTTTTAGGCTCAAGTTTATGACTAGTATATGGCTTGAGCAGAGGATAACAAGCACAACCAAATATTTCGAGAGCAGAATAATCAGGAACTATATTCTGCAGAAGTTCATAAGGGGATTTGTTGCCTGTGTTTCTGCTAGGCATTCTATTAATCAAATAAGCAGTAGTTGCAAAGGCTTGAAACCAAATCTCATATGGCAAAGAAGCTCTGGCTAACAAAGTGAGAACAGACTCAGTGATGTGACGATGTTTTCTCTCAACAATGCCATTTTGCTGAGGAATGTAAGGACATGACTTGGTATGAAGAATGCCATGAGCACCAAGAAAAATTATGAAAGGAAGAGCTAAGATATTCTCCACCCCCATCAGAGTGAAACACTTTAATGCAATGTGATAACTGTTTTTCTACAAAGGTTTTAAACTTAGTAAACACAGAATAAGCATCAGATTTAAGAATCAACGAAAAAATCCAAATAAATCTGCTATAGCTGTCAATAAAGGAGATGTAGTATTTAAAACCATGTAAAAATACATGAGGAGAAGGACCCCAGACATCACTGTGTACAGTATCAAGAGGGGTTGCAGACCTAGATGTAGAAATAGAAAATGGTAACTTGGCCATTTTGCCATACAAACAGTATTCACAGACACAAGCAGACCTAGAAGACTGAGAATGTGGTAACTTGGAAGTAGAAAGAATCTGATGTAAAATTGGATTTGCAGGATGTCCCAATCGATCATGCCAAGTGTGATGAGAAATTCTGGATCCAAGGTAAGCACAAGGAGAGGTAGAAGAGTGGTTGAGGCCATGAATAGGATATAGACCATTATTACTCTTGCCTTGGTAGAGAATTTGCCATGTGGCTTTGTCCTGAATAGAAAAAGAATTAGAATCAAACAAGAATTGACAATTGTTATCAGTGCAAAATTGTTTGACTGATAATAAATTGAAAGCAATAGAAGGTACCCTAAGAATGTTGGTGAGTTTGAAAGAATAAGGGAGTATGAAGAAAGGTATGACCTGTATGTGTAATAGGTAGTTCATGACCATTGCCAATGGAAACTTTATCTTCTCCAAAGTAAGGAGAGGAAAGAGAAAGATCCTCAAGTCTTGAGGTAAGGTGATGTGAAGCACCAGTATCAGTGAGCTAGTAGCTAGGAGTGGAGGGACTAGTGGATGCAGTCATAGCAGAATACTGAGAAGAGAAGTCAGAAACAACAGGCTGAGTATTGCAAGAAGAGTATTCAGAAGAAGTAGCCATAGCATTGAAAGGAAGAGAAGGTGGAAGTGGAGCTTGATAGGCATTGTTCATGCGATGATAACAGTTGACAGCACTGTGACCAAACTTTCCACATATCTCACAATAAATCTGAGGCTTCTGTGAGGCAGTATTAGATCGAAATTGTTGAGAATGAGATCTGTTCCCATAATTGTTTCTGCCTCCTCGATTTGAACCACGACCCCTGTAACCAGAAAAACCTCTACCTGAACCAGAATTGGGATGAGGATCATATATTTTGCCTTGTGGAGCAGCCATAGCAGATGGATTGAAAAAGTTTGGGGATGATTTAGAAGATGCTAAAACAGAAATTTCTTCTGCCTTCAACAAAGAATGAAGATCCTCCAGAGAAAGAGGCTGAGATCTAGTTTGAATTGTTGTTCGAAAGGCACTATACTCAGGTGGTAAACCATTGAGTGTATACAATAATATATCCTCATCTTTAATTATTACCGAAACTACTTGAAGCTTATCTCTAGCCTCTTTGATTTTTTGCAAGTAAATATCAATGGAATCTAAACCTTTGGTGATAGTTTGAAGTAGAGACTTAAGTTGCAGAATATTAGCTCTGGATTGAGATGAAAATCTTTTTCCCAGTGCAAGCCATACATCTTGAGATGTAGTATAGCCAACAACATGTGCAATAACAAAGGAAGAGAGTGTGGCATTAACAAGCGTCATAAGAGCTTGATCTTGAATAATCCACTGCTGATATTGTGGATTGATCTTTGTAGTAACAGCTCCAGCCTCATCAAGTATATATTTAGATGGACAAGGAAATAATCCATCAAGAAAACCAAATAAAGAATGAGCCCGTAACAGAGCTGAAATCTGAAATTTCCAAGAGACATAATTGGAAGAATCAAACCGAAGAGAAATAAGATTGCAGATATTAGAGAGTAAGTAGATAGGTGAATGTGAGGAAAAAGAAACTGTAGTTGAAAGAGTAGATGAATAGGTAGAAAATGAAGAAGAATTAGTAGAAGCTACCATCAGATCAAACGTTTGTCTTTGAAGATGGCTCTGATACCATGATAGAGTTCATAGAAAGCTTGGAGAAGAAGACAGAGGCACACAGAGAAGGTAAGAGAAACAAATATTTTCCATTACATTTTCAGTTTAGAATAAATATTTATAGCCACTCCTGGTTACAACGCCAGCTAGGACTAACTAACTAACAAACTGTCTTGTAGGCAAGTGGCTTCAGCAACCGACTCCAATGCAGTCACATGACAGTAGCTGATATGAGGGAAATACTTGTGTGTAGTGCTGGTATTGTATAATAGAATAAACATTAGAGGTGGCATCATCGGTAAATAAATATCGTGAAAACAGATTTACAGAACAAGTCTTCGCCTCAGGCCTCTTTGCACATACAATTCCCAGGATGCACAGATTACCCTTTTTTGAGTAAGTACTTATCGAGCAATCTGCTCACTCATAACCTATACTTTCTCTTGCAAAAACTGCAAATTCTATTCTCATTTTCTTTTTGCATTGTTCTGGATGATAGCATTAGAGAAATACCCATTGCATGCTTTTTCTGGCATGCTATTTATATTACAAATGCAGTGCAATTTACCACCATGATTTGTTGTCACCAGACTGAGTAACATTGCTGGTCGTGTAATGCTGGTATGGAATATCAGAAATGATGACGAGGAAATTATCAACAAGAAAGCTCTGCCTTAGGTTGCCAACAAGTGACACCGACATTAGCTCTCACTAAGGCAACTTTGAGATTATCGCTTCTTTTCATTTTCTGTTTTCTGATCCCCTAAAGTCCCTAGACTAGGGTGGTGGTATAACCTCTAAAAGTGAGTAGGGTCAGATTGTATCATCTACATATTGAAAGCAACTTTAAGAAGGATAGACCAGCAAATGCAACATTATATTTAAAGCATAGTAGTTTATGACCAAAAAGGAATGTAAAAAAACAAAGAAAGACTACTTATTTATTCAAATGTCTGGTTCTTCAGCAAAAACCATTTTAAGAAAATGAAATTTTAGGGTTAACATATACTTAATGGTCTTCCATTTCTATAAACATCAAAGCCAGACCAAAACAATGAGAATTGAAAACTCACTGTGATTATCTCTTTACGAGCTTGTTGACATTCATCATCGCTTTTGCGCTCCTTGATAACAAGGGCTTGATTCAATTCTTCCAACCTTTCAAGTTCCTCTTCCAGACTTTCTATTACCATTTTCTTCTCAAGAGAGAACTTCATTCCCTTCTTTACATTGTAAGCCTCTCGTTTCCCGCATTCTTTCTCACGCCGCTCAAGTTCTCTCTTTTGGGCTTCCAGGTGCAATGTAATTCTCTCCTGCACTTGGAAAATGTTCTCAAACTGATAACGTGCACTCTACAGCATCTCGCGCATCTCAGATGTACCTGTGAAGAAAATATTATCGAAAGGAGCCCCTAAATATTGTCACCACCTTACCACCACCACCCCCCCCCCCCCACCACCACAGTTGCCACAATCATAATTGGTCGTCGTCACCAATCACAACGATCACCATCTCCCTCCACCACCACTGTCGTAACCATCGCTCATTCCATTACAATTAGTATTTAAATTTTTCTCTTCTATTTGTAATTTAATTTTGGGCGTGAATACAAATATATTTATTGTTGACAATTTTTTTTATTATTTCATGTTTTCGGGCACTAAAAATATCTAGTCATTAATAAAATATTATATATTTTTAATGGAACCAAAATTTAAAAATTAAGTGAATTGGGCCGGAACGCCTCTCAAGCTCCTCCCAGACCCAGTTAAGCTGATTTCTATTCTCAATCTATATAATAAAGTTCCATTGGTAAGCCAAAGCATTAAAGAATTTTTACTATGTTCACTTCGAATGTTAAGCTCCAAGTTGATCTTACCAATAAATTTTCTTCCGCCATAAAAATACAGGTAAAAGAACGAAGTAAACATTGGTGTCACACAAGAGTCACACCCATACAATTAAAGATACAAAAACTAACATATATACACTGAATCAAGCAAAGTTACGTCTAATGTTAGAGGCAATCTGGGCTTTCCTGAGATTACAAGATTTCCAAAATTAAACAAAAGAATCTTGCAATGGGAAGCTTTTGTGTTGTAGGCATTCAATGACGCATACTATTACTAAATAGCTATCTTATATTTACCAAGTTGAGGGAGTTGTTGATCAATTGTCAAACTCTATAGTTTCTCTTCCTTTTGAGCACCCCTCTGTTTGAGCACATACGATACTCCCTCCTTCAGAGTAGCTTCTCTCCCTTCGTTATAATTCCAGAGCTCCGATACAGCATACCTACTGCTGGGGTTGTACTTATTCACCTCCAGCAAGGCAGCAGCCATAGCCATGTAAGCTTTATTACCAAGATCATTCTTCAGAAATTTGAGTCTTGTGTCCTCTTCATCAATGATTTCCTAAGCACCACCAGTAACATACAGCACCCCCAGTCAAGTAAAACATACAAAAGATAAACCATTTAACAGATCTGAAGGAAGACAAGAAATAATATCAAATTTGTAAAAAGATATTGCAGTTGAGTGAAGAGGGACAGAAAAATCAAAGAAACTCCACCACTGTTTTGGAGCACATTACTGTCAACCAGGCCACACGAATGAATGACAATTGTCCAATCACTTTGGCACGGTAACAGAACCAATTTGGTCCACTACTGCCTTAGAAGCCACATAGAAGAAAGGTAATAAGATCATTAATAGGCCAAGCGACTCGACACTTGCAACTGATACGGAAATCATAAAACTAATTTGAATTAAATACTGCTTTCTAACAAAGAGATGCTGGCTCACAAGGGCGGAGCCACTCGTGCCTAAATTTCATTTTAGAGCAAAACTGTTCATATAGATTTTTGCATAGTATAGATTTGCCCCCACAAAAAAACTCATTCATTTAAATTTATTTCATAATTTCCCACATTTAGAATAGATTTCTTTACTCTCAATCAAATGAACTTAAATAATGTTTAGTTACTTCAACTCCTCAACATGTATTTCAAAAATTATTTTGAGTCTCGTGGTTCTCCCTCCTTATATCTAGCATTTTTGCTAATTGAATGGTAGCAATGAATTAAGTCTCTAAACTAGATCTAAGTAAATGTCGAAATTTTGTTGCTAAAATTTGCCCCCACTACGACAAATTTCTAGCTCCGCCCCCACTGGCTCAGCTTTTAATGTTTAAATTTTTTTTGCATCAATCTAATACTAAAGGAGATGCTTTCTCATTCATCTTTGCACAATTAAGAAGCTAAAAAATATCTACTAGAAAAACTAAATGTGTTCTCCGTATTTCAGGCTGTTTGTGCGCCCCTATTTAGCTCTATCAAGCTAGCAGTTCGAGGAAAGTTGTCGGAGCATTCTTTGACATGGAATGAATGACTAATTATTGTCTGTCCAAAAAGAAGGAATAATTGATAATATTCTGTAGAAAGGCATACCTTATGATCTTCACCACCTTCAACCGCAACAACTTTAAAAGGATGCCAGTGAGGATCCCGAAGGTAACTCTCCCATAATGAGCACAACTCCAAAGCTTTGTCATCCGCTATTTTATCTGGATATTTTCTCTTGGCAACATCCAGGAATGGCTTCTGATCAAGCTCTCCCATTCTCTTCACGCCAACCAACGACTGAGAAGGTTGCTGCTCCTTCAAGGCCTATAGGTCAAAGAAATAAGTTTGGTCACCAGATCACATAGATGAACCACACAGTAAAGAAAAATCACAAAATTGTTTTGCAGGCATATATTTCAGTATATTTTAGCTGAAATATCGTTTGCATGCATTCAAATTTTCATAATTAGCAAACAGCTAACAGTATAGCCAGCTCTAGCTGGATAAATTAAAGTAGTTCGTTTAAAAGATTAGGGGCCATTGACCATGATTTGTGAAGGAACAAACAAAAATGCAGGTAAAGGAGAGATGTTCAATTATTGCAGAAATAACATGGACATATGGTGAGAGGCATCCAGATTCTAACTAGAGAAGACAGTGAACATTATAAGACATTAAAGACCACAAAGACATACACACATCGATAATCAGACATCTTAATCTTGTACTATGTTTGTATTTCTATGAAAGATACCAATAAAATTTACCAAACCAATTGCCTCAAATTCAAGAGTGATATTTTATGACCTCCTTACTTTAACAAGAGGGGATATTGAGTTTTAGAAGCATTCCATTCACCTTTCTTCGTTTATTCAATACTTATTAGAAAGTCGACATACAGTATTGTGAACTAGGTTGAAAATGATTTGTTAGATCATACATTTGTAATTGGCTAATTTCGTAGAGGTCATGTAAATCTCAACTTATTCCATGTTCATGATGCTACAAAGATGAAGATCCGAAAGCATTATTGAAAGAAGGAGATCATCCGTCAAAGCTACATCAAAAGCCTCCATATACACCTTCATGCTCAAGACAAGATAATGACCTAAAAATCTACGATGATCTCTTAATTTAAAAGATTTAGGAGGTTTAGTGTGAAAATAGAATCGGTATTAATCTTTGAATGGTTCCTAGATGATTTTCAAAGAAAAAATTTTCTAAACAATTTTGTAATTTGTAAACATAGTTTGAGTCATTGTCGAATTCCTCTTGAACTATGCCCTTTAGTACTCGGGAGAGAATTTTTTGACTTAGAGAAAAAATGAGGAAAAGACCAAATAGAGGAGCACTAACCCCCTTGAGGCCGCTCAAATATTTTGCTTCTCCTAGATCGGTTTGGAATTCATTTTTTAATCCAATGACCACCGCCTATGACCTCCATCTCGTCACTCGTGCAGTCGTTCACAAATTTAAATTTTCTTATTGACTAAGATTGCCCTTATTCCAAACCTATAAATAGGGAGTATATATTCCCTACCTACGGTATCTCTTTCGTGAGCAGAATTCTTACCTCTTACACCTTAGATATCACACCACAACCTTAGATCCCTAAACTCAAGGCTACCACCTTGTGATTCTTATACAATCTCACACCTTGGAGAAGAAGAACTTTGTTAGTTGAAACCAAATCCATTAGAGAGTGTTCATGTTGTAAGCCTTAGGTGTGAAGCCTTGAAGATTGCTCGAGGCCTAAATGAACTGTGTAACAGGAGTTTAAGTAAAGTTATCCAAGACGTCGAAGAGGAACTTTCAGCTAAGAGATCTACTGAAGTGAAGTAGCATATAGCCACGTGGATTGGTTGAGATATGAGATTCAAGTACTTTTAGATTGACTTTGGATTGGTGATTAGGCTTTAGTGAACCTTAGAGAGGTTCTTTGCGGTTTTTTCCGAGAAGATTTCCGCACTAACAAATTACTTGTATTTACTCTTGTTGATTATTGTACACACTTACAATTTGATGCACACACGGACACTATGTGCTTGATGAATTGAATGTTTGAATCTAATATCACGTATAGTTTCTTGATTGGGTTTGGGTTGCCGTGGTTGAAATTGCCTTGATGAACAAATTGATAAAATCAATACACTAACCTACATGGAAGTTTTCAATTATGATGGTTAAAAAGGGGTTCTCATACTTAAACTTTTATATTATTGTGTAACAAGATAATTGTGGTAAAAATATAGGTTAAAATTGGTGATAATGTAAACTTAAATTGTAATTAAGCTATTCACCCTCCCTTCTAGGTCTAACGTGCGATTTATCATATATAATCAAGTGGAAAGATCCTTCACGTGAAGTGTTGTATTTTTCTCACATAATTTCTCATTAGAACTTATTCAGAGATACTCATTTAGCCCGATACTATGGTGTCAAAGTGGTACAGGTCTGTGATAGTTTTACCCAATCCTAATGTAGAAACAAATATCTATTCTTAAAAAGTGTATTGCATGCAATGAACTTCTAGAGAAACTTTCAAGTGAAGCTCATTGAGAATTAGACGTCGCTTCAGTGTCTTGATATTATAATAAGAGGTTTACATACTGTCTTTAACCCTTTGGTCTAGTTAGTTGCACAGACTAAGCAATTTGGCCAACAATATCATAGATTTTCAGTTAACAAAAACTAAATATAGTAGTGCAATATGCTTTCACATGTCTCCAGATGATAGCACTAAAAACTAGATGCTAGTGATGGCATACTATTAATTCTTGGCAGATGATGCGAAATTTACTGCTATGGTTTATAGTGACTAGAATTAGCTACATTGTTGGCTGTGCAATGCCAGCATGGAAGAATGCTGTAGAGCAAACTATATCTACAGGAAAGCTTCACTGCTCTGTCAGTTACGAACAAGTGAGACAAAAAAATCATTCACCAAGGTAACTAAGATCAGTTAATTCTTTTAAACATTATCTGTTAATTCTTTTAAACTTTTGTGTTCTGGACCCATTTAGTCCCTAGTCCAGGCTGGTGGTATAACATCTGAAATTGCGTAGAGATTAACAATAGGTCAAGTTACATCATCGTGTCAGAAGCTCATTTAACAATAATATACCAGCAAGAGCAACTTTATGTTTAAAGCAGATTTATTGTATAACCAAAAAGGAAGTTAAATTAGACTGTGACATCTTGAAGGTGAAACGTGCAGATGTCCCTCTAAAGCACAGATGTGCTATAACGCACAGAGCTTGGAAAATAGAGGAAGACTACTGTATTAAACCCTCTGAGAAAAGGAAACTCGCATTAATTAACTCATTACGAGCTTCTTGCAACTCTTGACAGCTTTTGTGCTCCTTAACAATAAGGACTTGATTCAATGCTTCCAGACCTTCAAGCTCCTCCTCCTTTTCCTCAAGATTCTGTTTAATAGTATGCAGAGTCTCCCTCATACGCTCTATTTCCAACTCCATTGCTTCCTTGGCTTCAAGTGTTTTTTCTAGCTCAACAATTTTCTTGAGCAGTTTTTCTGTTTCCCTCTAGCATTAATTTTATACACATTGATTAAATTATAGTACCTCTAGAAATCCATAACCACAACTGGTGCTTTTGGTATTTCCAGTCAAAGCAGAAAACAGATGTAATACGTTGTGATCTTCAGCCAAATTTAGAACATTCTCTTCTGCCTGCTTTTTCTCCAAGGTTGCTTTCTCATTCTAAAAGAACAGAACAAATCCTTTATCCAGACAAATACAACACTAGCAGATTCAAAGAGATAGCTAAAATGTATCTAAGAAACTGATAACAAATACTCTTTCTTTCGGTAAAAAAAAAAAAAGATAATTGGGGGTGCTCCTCCATCATGGAATTTAACAAAAATTCAAAGGAAGCAGCAGAGTACCGTTTGCTTCTCAAAATGGAGCATCCTTCTCTCCTTTTCATTGTCAGCCTCCCTTTTGCACAGTTCTTTCTCACGCTGCTCAAGTTCTCTCTTCTCATCTTCCAAGTGCAGTGTGATTCTTTCATGCTCCTTGGAAATCTTCCCAAGCTGATGATGTGCATTCTGCTGCATCTTGCGTATCTCGTGTGTGAAAAAATGAAAAACTATTGTGAGGACAGTGTGATTGAAAGAAACCCCTAATGAGAAGGAAAATTCTATTACCAAATAGTTGGTCTTACAAAACCTTAGTTAAGCAGCAAAACAAAGGGGATGCAAATGCATACCTTTATTATAAGTTTTGTGCATCTCATCTTTTTGAGTCATCAACTTGGTTAGGGAAATGGAGATTTTATTATACTTGCATTCAATCTCTTTCAGATTTGACAATAGTTTGTTAGTTTTACGCTTCTCTTCAGCTTCAATTTCAGAAAAAATTTTCAAATCTCCAGTTTTTTGAAGATGACGACCTACAACTCCATTTGAATCAAAGTCATCACTGCAACCCATCCATATAAATCATCTCCAATGTTCTCTGCCGTATAATAATCCCTCTTTCCTTTATGGTTTGCCTCATAACTCTTCTCAAACATCAGTGCATTACTGAATCCAGAACAATCTCCGTTAAATTCCACCATTGCATAACCTGAATGACCCTTCTGGTTCATAATGGATGAACCCATACAGGATTAAATCCCCTTTGAGTTAAATCTTCACTAAGCCTTGAACTACCTTCCCAAACATATTGGCCATCCTTCCACTCAGCATGTATCTTTGCTACAATTCCCATCCACGGCCAAACAAACAACTCATTTACATCACTGCCTTTAAGAGACTCAATAGTCTCCACTGTATATTGTGCTGAAGACCCCCTCGGACCAAAATCAATCCCTTTCTCTCTTAAACCCCGGCTCTGTGTGTCCTTTCCAACGCCAGATGTGTGTTTCAAAAGATCGTTGAGGTAATTCTCAAACTCTGATTCACTTATTGCAATTTCCTCTTCAGATGAGCACAACATTTTTCCAGAAAACCTGAAATTGAAAAGAATCCTCCATTGTCAAAAGCCAAGCAATGTATGTTCTCATAATAACCTCTGTTTGGTGAAGGACACACAAAAATAAAAGAATTAAATACAGAACTCTGGATCATTTGAATGCCTATAAGCCTAAAGTTTGCAAACCTCGCCCAACCGTAGTAGTGTCATGCCCCCTGGAATGTAAATTTCATTTTCCCAGGTCATGTATAAATATTGGAAACATAAGAATTGAGACTGAGGATATAAGCATTCGAGACTGGGACATATGAAGACAAACTTTCATGAAATTAAATAAAACAGATTTGTTAAATATTGAAGGGTAAGAAATAACACTAAATGTGTGGTTCCAAAAGTAATAGAAGCAAAAATGACCTCCAAGCTCAAATTTATGATTCTGTGTCTCATGCCAATGAAGTCTCAGGGTAGGTATTCTTTGGCTTATCAAAAACTATTAGCAACTCATGTCAATTGAGTGGAAAATGCAAGCCTCAGTAAAATCATATCTGTTCTTCCCCAAAAAACCAATCACAGGACATACACATGAAGACATCTTCATAATACAGAATGGA